AAAGAAAGAAGTGACCCCTGGCCTGCCATCCTCTAACCCACTCCGCAATGGCAAGAGGACTCCAGTGGCAAAAAAAACCCTGCATTCTCGAGAATCCAACAGTTCTAGACAGTGCGAGGTATTCCAGGCCAGATCCAGAGCGCTATGAAGCCTGTGAGCATCTTCCTGGTAACTCCCCTGGGCTCTGGAGATAGCTTTGGTGCCTAACTAAATGGTGAGCATCTGTCTTCCCTTACCCCAGTTTGGTATGTAGCAGTTCACACCTCCCATTAGTACAGAAGTCGGCAATGTATGGCCTGAAGACCAGATCCAGCCCATGGGACTTTTGGATCTAGCTTTCAAATGTGGGGCTTCGGCAGTATTTGTGAGCCAGAGGTGCCTTCTGTGGGGTGGGTCATTTTAGGCCCACAGCCAGAAAAGGTGCCTACTCTTGCTGTAAACAACTGAATCCCTGCATGACCTAAAACAGAGCAGTCTAGGTTCTGATGTGAAACCTGATTTTTGACAGAGCAAAGTACAGCAAGTCTGTAACTCTGGCCAGCATTCTGCACTGTGTGCCATCATGTATCATTAGCAGAGCAATTACACAAGCAGGCAATCCTCATGCCCCAGCACACAACCCAGGCACTGGTGGGGACATGGAGGGATTCCCTCTTGTCAGAGCCAGCCTTATGGATGGGCGACTGCCCAGGGTGCTGTAGTCAGGAAGGCGCCAAACACACACACGTGTGCACACACGCGTGAGGAGCCTGCATTCAGAGCAGGACTTTCCCCCCCATCCCACCCCGCCCCAGCTAATCCCTGCCCCAGGCAGGAGAAGCAGTACCCAGCCCACCCCCACCTCTAGCTGCTGGTCAGAAGAGCTGGACTGGGCACATGTGCATGGGATGGTTCCTGTTCCAGTTCACCCACCCTGCTCCCACACAGCAGCAGCACTGTCTGCCTGACTGCGTGGCGCATCATGCCGCTCCACCTCCCTGCTGCGCTGCGCCCCATGCCCTTGCCTGCCTCTGCTTCTAGCAGCACCACTGGCTTAGGAGGGGCTGCCAAAATATAAGTTCACCCAGAGCACCATGTTCCCTAAGGCCAGCTCTGCTACTCATGATATAGTGCTGAACACAAATGCCTAAGTGGATTTTTGTCCTCATTTGAAGCAGCCTTGTAGGTCCCGGTTCAGCAGCCTGTGAGTGGACCGACTGACTTCATAAGGGCGACTCACTGTTTAAATTTAAGTCCACGCTTGCTGAAACAGGGCCACGGGCCTTTGTCAGGTAGAACTTACCAGACTAGCTGAGCCGAGCCATTTTTCACTTCTCATATTGTAATTTCAAGGGCCTGCTCTGCCCCCGCCATTCAAGTCAACGGGAAATTTTGCCATGGATTCCAATAGAAACAAAAATGCCCATTTTGAAAGAATGCCGCTCAGGTTGCTAGTGTGAAGAAATGTAAAGACAGACCTAATGTCACTTAACAGCTCTTCCATCCTTTTCTTTTTAAGAAAAGATTTGCCGGCTTGAGCTGGAAAAATACAGTGATTGAGCATGTATGATTCATCCCAGCCTGCACAGAAAAAAAATCAGAGTGGCTGGCTGGCTGCAAACTCAACTGGTAGCACGGCATCATTTGTAAAATGTGTGATTTTCGGGCAGCAGAAGCACAGAAGCCCAAAGCCAGAAAGCATCTAACAGGTAAAGACCATACATATATGCCCAAGAATTCCATATAGGCCACCAGCTTTCTACAGTATACAAGCACGCTCTCCTTGTAATGGCTGGGGTATGACATCCAACAGCTCTAAAGGAAATCTCAGAAAAACAGAGCATTTAGAAGAACATGTAATAAGTTTGCACTTGAGGTCCAGCCAGCGAGGTCAAAGGGACTGCTGACATAAGTGAAGGATGCACAAGGACACTGTACATAGAGCACTGCATTCAAGGATCTCAGTGTGTTTCAGAGGCAACAAATAATTGGGTTTCACAAACTATAACTGGGCAAGTTAAGCCATCAAAAACTTAAGGTCACAGAGAGAGTCAGTGCCAGAGGCAGGAATATAAACAGGAGTGCTAGTTCCCAGATCCCTGCTCTTGACATTAGATTCCACTGCCTATAAAACCCACCTTAAATAGAAAAGTCATACCATGATCTACTCAAATGCATGATATACGAGGTAGTGCAGCCTGCCAGATCCTCAAGGGTTGGCAGAAAGACTCTGGAAAAACTGGGGTTATTTCATCTGGAGAACAGAAGACAGAGCAGAGTGATCACTGTTTTTTGATCCACAAAAGACAGAACAAGTAAGGGGCTTAAACTGCAACAACAGAGATTTATGTCAGACACCAGGAAGAATCTTCCATGTATAGTGCTAGCTAAGCACTGGGAGAGATAATGGCTGTCGAATCTGTCACTGGAAGGTTTTAAGTGAAAGTCTGACCAACATTTATCTCAGATGGTTTAGACAGGATGACTGCCTTGAGCATGGGGATGGAGTAGAAAACTTCAAGGTCCACCTCAGCCCTACGTTTCTATGATCATATACAGATGCAAAAGACATGCATGGATTCTGGGATTTGTTCCTCCATCTCAGGAGCAGTTGTATAATTTAATCCAAGGTAGGGGGTAGGGGGGAGAGGGGGGTTACAGTTTCTTCTTGTGTCCCCATCTGCTAAGGATGTCACCTTAGTCTAGCTCCATCTGGAGAGATTAATCTTATGCCAAAGCACCTCTTGCTTTTAGCCCTGGAGTTCCCAACAATTCCTGTGTGTCATTCAAGGTGCACCCCACCTCACAAAAGGAAACTGCCTAATGCAGCGAGCTTCGCTTGAGGTGGAAGATGGCACAGAAGCATGACCCCATGACAGGTGCGGTTTCTTTCATGCAGATACACTATAGCACTTGTCCCTGCTTGACAACCGCCAGAAGATAAGGCCTCCCCAGGATGAAGAAACCATTTACCACCCACCCAAATGCAGGACAGAGAACTCAAGTCTACTACAGAGCATCCTCTGAAAAGGTCAGGGATATTTCATGTCACAGCAGAGTTAAGCCTAGTCGTGGACATTTGTCTTCTCAGGTGAAAGCCAGAGCTTTAGCAAGCTCCATGGATAGACTAGAAGGGCAAGCGGAGGCATTTTCATGAGCTCTGAATTCCTTCTCTGTACTTCCCTTTCAGGAAATCAAGTTAATACTTATCATCTCCTCCACCTATTTGCACTAACTTTGGGATCAGCTAGCCAAGTACATGCCTACTTAAGGATTCTCACTCCTTAGAGTGAAGTATACCAGCCCAATGCTCTGGTATAATACATAATCATTAGGAGAGGTGTATACTAAAGATCAGACTTAGTATTCTTACCTGAAACTAAAGCAGGACAACTAGAGGTACCTCTGCAGCCTAGCAACAGCATCTCGGGATTCGCCTCACCTTTTCTGTTTTAAAGCTATGCCCAACATCTGCTTATCAGAGAAGAATTCATTGCAGTGTGTCTGAATAATGCAACTGGCTGATTTCCACCTCCTCAGCTGAGAGAAGCAGCTGTTTTTTTGTTTTTCTAAGGTGGTAAGGAGGTGGGTTTTCCTTGGTGGCACATACATATTCTCCACTGGGGCTATTAGCAAAAAGGAACTATTTTTAGAGTAAATACAAAGACATCCTAAGTTGAACTGGCAATATCTAAGTACGAAACATCAGGAGAGAGAAATGGGCAAATCTCTCTCATTGCAGCTAACTCCTAATGCCCAGTAGGCAGCAGACCGAGCAGATCTATAAGGTATTTTCCATCCCTTTGATACTTTGCCAGTGCAGCTTGGACGGCTCAACCCGAGCTTCTGCTTCCTGTTGTCCTGTGAAACAGCTTGCCAGTGAACAGGAAAAACGAGGGAAAAAACAAAAGCAAGAAGCGACCCCCAAAGATTTCTCTGTACTCCATCCTTCAAGGCAGATCCAGGCAAGGCAGTCCTTACGACAGGCAAAACTGCCTGTTCTACCAAGACAGCATTTGTTTTAAAGTGCTAGATTGTGCCACTTGAAATTACTGCCTGGGTATGAAATCTCAACACCAGTGGGGCTTGTTCCAGCTTCTCCACCATACTATGCCCCAGTCAACACCTCCTTTTCTTTTGATTCCCTTCTTAAAATGCATTCAAACTTCCTAATGGAGTCAGAGAAAGCTTGTAGCTTACAAGAAATGTAGGCCTGATCCCCCAGTGGTTCTATCTATCGTACTTTCCAACAATCCCTTCTTAAGGTAAAAATGCCCAGCTGGGATACATTGAACAGTAGCATCTGTAACAACAGAGAGGATGTACAAACAGGGCACAGAGTTGTGCTGAGAACTCCATAACAGGGAAAGGAGGGGTTAATCTTAACGGTACTGCCACACATCTGCATCCTATGTTGTAAGGATGGCTCAGGATTATGTTAAAGCTGATCTGGCCCCCACTGAAACCCATGGCCAAACTGTTAATAATTTCAGTGACACCAGGATTATTTAGGGCAGGGATGGACAAAATGCTATATACAGCATGCAGCAGATCAGGGAGCAGATAGGGCGTACAGTGGCAGATAGGACAGGAAGCAGAAAGCAGAGCAGTGACAGGGAGCCCAGGGAAGGAAGCAGAACACAACAATAGCAATAGATCAGACAGTGAGCAGAAAACAGAACAACAGATTGAGCAAGGACAGGGGATCAGAGTGACATCCAGGGAAGGTATAGGGCTAATCTGTGACCTGCCTGCCAACAAGGTGAGCCCCCACTGATTTAGAGAACATTATACTGTACACCCATAGGCTTTCTCTCCCACTATGCATTCGTCTGGCTCCATTAATGCACAATAAAAATAAGCAATTTTGAAACCAAATGCAGCAAGCATTTTATGCTCAGATATTCCCAGCCCTCTGCGATAGGCTGAGCTACTGGGTCACATGCATCAAATTGCGGTTCTCACTCACTGGCCGTAGAGCAGACTAACTGCTAAAGGAGATAAGCGTATCTGATACTTACTTTCTCAAGACTGCAATTTCGTTCTCTATGCTGCTTTCCTTCCCCTTCAGTGCTTTCTTGGGAATGCACTTGACTGCGAATAGTTTTCCACTTGCTCTCTCTTCAGCCAAAACGACTTCAGAAAATGCACCCCTAAAGGAAAAGGAAAAGATCAGTTTCAAATCATCTCCTCTCTGCGATCCGAAGCACGCGCATACCAGCTACAATGGCTGCTACTGCAACTTCTCATTATTAACAGCAATGTTCCACGTGTAGAGCATCTTTCATTTGCTTTACAAACATACTCCTGTTGGCGCTCAGGCTAAATATTCCTGACAGCCACGTTTACTGAACAACAGGAAAGTTTTAAAAGTAAGCCAGGGTCCAAAAAAGGAATGAAGGGATCTCTCGGAAACCAAGAAATGCTACTGGTGCCACTGCCAACGATTTACTGCGAGACTTGGAGAACGCACTTAGCATCTTCTGCCCCAGACGCCTACCTGCAGTGATTCCTTCACTCGCTGCAGCGTTAGGAGGTTTAATTCATAAAAGTCTGTAAAGCCTGCACTTATGTTTATCCAAGATACTCGCACTTTAATGATCGCTCGCGTTTTAGTTCTCCAGCAGTCTAGGGTTTCCCATCGCCTTTTGTTCTATTCTGACTCAGCAAAGACAGCAGCTATTGAACTACTTTGCACAACATAAAATTAACACCAAAGAGCTACTCAACACAGCTCACAAAGACACTCTCATGGACCCAGAGGGACAACCCTCCATCTTCAGCGCCCCCTGTGCAAAAATAAAGTCTATTTCCTACCTATGGGGACTTTTTACCATCTTCTACCATCTGCACTTTTCCCAGAGCCTGACGAAGGGACTTTGATCCCAAAAGCTTGCAGAAAAGGACAATTTTCTTGCCATTTTCCAGTTGGTCTACTAAAAGGTATCGTTTTGGAACCAAGAGGTCTAGTTTTTTGTACACCCATGGAACAAACTTCTAGAAGAGACTTTGCTGAAGGCAGGATTACAGAGTCGGTTGAGGCATTTCCATGAATAATAAGAATATTCAGGGGTGCAGACAGGATAAAACATACAAAGAGCAAGTGAGCCACGACACAAGTCCTCACTCAGCCAAGAGTAAGAAGAAGCCGCCGCTTTGACATTTTATGCCAAATTTATGTATTATGAACTTCTCTGTATTACTTAGTTTCAGCCACTGTTGAATAAGATGCTGGATTGCCTACTGGCCTGATTCAGATCGGCAAATCCCAATGCTCCTATTAATCGAAAAACCACTTTCTGCAGTACCTGTGCTCCCCTGTGTATCTCACATCCAAGTGCTTCTCTCTCAAGACCACAGCCCAGGGTCAGCTAATAGCTGCAAGGTCATTTATTATTTATATAAAATAAAAATAAATCCCCAGAACTGGGGCACATTTCCCTTTGAATTTTCCCCTCAATCAATCAATATATTACTTGGCGTGGCATTCCAGAAAAAAACACGCCACTCACAGCCTAAACAAGCTGCAACTAAGCTCCAGTAAGCTCTTAAAATGTTAATATTTGATCACAACCTCATTAAACTCTGAATCTTCTCTGACTTTCATCTCCCATCACTGCTGGTTATCTGGTGTTTATGGGTAAACAGAAGCTTTTTCCCTTTTACCGCCAGGCTCTTCCTTCCTCAATCATACAGTTTTTATGGCACAGTTGAGTATAGGTGACCTCACAGTTGCTCCCTGGATGTGAAATAACTGAATGAATCATTAAGCGAGTCAATAAATGAATCAGGCTGGAGAAGGAGGATGCTGATTAGGAAAGAGAAAACTTCCGTTTACAGGGAAATACTTTTGTAGTTAGCGGTGATAAGGAAAGGATGACAGAAGCTGGAAATAGATTAATGGGATTGATGCAAAATATTACGTGTGTGTGTGTGTGTGTGTGTGTGTGTGTGTGTGTGTGTGTGTGTGTGTGTGTGTGTGTGTGTGTGTGTGTGTGAGAGAACAGTTCAAATTTTAGCCTTATTTCTACTCAATGCTTTGTGTTTAGATCACAGGTTTCAGAGCGCTATGGGACCAAGGTACTTCATCCAGGAGTTCACCTAGCCTGTGCCACATAGACTCAGCCAGAACAAAAGAACCAAGCAGATCAAGTTTGTTTAAAAGACTTATTCTGCGACTTTCTTCTGCTGAATAGCCCTAGTTATGAGTCATGACATTCTTTCACGCCAGTCCTTGCCCTTGCAAATACTTAGGGAATAATCACTTTGAACCTTCAAGTATCATTAACTTCAAAGAGAAGGGTGCTGAGGAACTCACAAGATGGCTCCCAGGCATCCTTTCAAGAACCACTTAAGCCACACCTTGCCTGAAGGGTGTTTGTGCCCAAAAGATTGCAAAGAACAATTTTTCCAACTATTTAGTTGGTCTAATAAAAGATATCCCATCTACCCAAAGAACCTTGTCTGCCAACATCCTTAGACTAACACGGCTATAATCAACACCATGTCTGCATCGGTAAGCTTTTGTCACACTATCTACACTGCAGGTGCTTGGCTGTGTAGTGTACCAGTCCCTTGCCTCTTGCTTGCCTGCTCTGCACAGCAGCTTGAATGTTTGTACAACTCCTTTCATTTGTTGTACAGAACCGCGTATGTTTACAATACTATAAAAATCCAGAAAGCTTCTGTTTATAACGTAAGTTCATTGCCATCCGAAGACCGTGATACAAAAATCTCTTTTCAGTAAACTCTACTAAATGCCTGGGTTACTGCCCTTCTCCTCTGCTTGCTGGAAAGCCATGGGAAGGAGAAGCTGTATCCAGCCTACAGATTTGAATTGATAGCCCCTTGAATGTTTTCGAGGACTTATAGTTCCCCTCATTAAGATTAATATCATATTTCTTTAATGGCTGTTCTCATTAGGATCACAAAATGGGAAGATACTCTATTAAAGTGTTTATCTGAATGTCAACCCTCGGTGCTTAGCGCACTCCTCATGTTCCCAACGTTGTACAAACACTTGGCGAGATTCATGTCTCCTCTGGCAGTGGAAAGTGCCCTCCGATAGCATTGAGCACTGCTCCCTGCAATCCTCCAGCCCCTGAGGACACACGCAGTGTGTGACACTAGTCTGGGAAGGAATGATACATATTATCTAAAAAATAAAAAATTGTGTGTGTGTGTGTGTGTGTGTGTGTGTGTGTGTGTGTGTGTGTGTGTGTGTGTACACACACACTTTTTTTTTTCTTCTTTAATGGAAAACTTTTCATGTCCCAAGGCGAATCAGCCAAGTCAATTCCAAATCCATGTGAATCATTCAAGAAGCATACGTAGTTCTGCTACCGGCAAGCATCCTTCACCCCTACTTGGGGCTTCAGATTCTCTTTTGGCAGGCATCCTACGTGCAGGCCCAAGCCCGGAGGCTTGGGTTTTGGATGCCCCCGAGTTTCGCTTGCCCTCAGCCATATTGCTGCGAGTACAAACTAGGAAGCAGTCTCCCATTTCCATAAAGTCGGCGTGTAGCTGAGATCCTCCCACTGGAAGTCGAAGTGGGAAGCTAACTAGGAGGCTCTCATAGGGAGTCCTGTCCACAAGCAGACAAGGGTGCAACCCTCCAGCAAATATTACCAAAGGGATTAATGAGGAATTAAAAGAAGGAGAGGCTGCCATAGTAGAAAGGGGATGCAGGGAAGACCCAAGAAGTTGAGAGTGATTGAGGGAGGAAGCAAAAACAACTAAATACATGAAAGAAAGAAACATCCTGGATCAAATTCATTCCTGGTTTAGCTTCACCCCACCCTCCTCCCTGTCTCCCCCCCGCCCCATGGGACTGGTATGGAGGCCAGGAATTTCAGAGCGAGGCAAAATGGCCCCGGGCCTTGGGTTCCCTGGGCACTGCATGCTGTACTTCATTGCAGAGCAGACTGTGAAAGCTGGAGGAGGGAAGAGCCCAGAGATCCTGGCTGCTGCTGCAGCTGAAGCAATGGGGAAATGGGCTGGGTGGGAGGATGGGGGGAGGAGGGGGCAAGCCACAAATTAACCCCTTGTGAGCTACATGTGGCCCGGGGGCTGCCAGTTGGACAGCCCTGCACTAGACCACGAGGGGGACTAAACAACAGTTTTAGCCAAAGGAACTGATGACCCTTTTCATTCGCGAGACTAATCAAGAACAGCGATTTAACTCTGAGGACAAATTTCTACTTATCTCTAGGGTTCAAAAAAAAAAAATCAGTAATTTTGCACATAAATCCCTATAACAGGTTGCATAGTTTTAGCAAACATGGTTATTGTACAACATCAAAGCAGCATTATTTTTCTTTAATGCGTTTCATTAAGCATCACCCGGGATAATAATAAGTTCCATCCAAAACTCAGTCTTATTTCATCCCGTGTTTATTATTTCCATTTGTATAGCACAGCGCTTTTATTAGCCCTATTCCCTAATGCTCTCTGAACAGAGAGCTTTGTCTATAATATTGGCATGTACTGCAGTGTCCTCTATACAGTACTGATATTAGTATCAGGACATTCACATTAATAAATGACAGCACATCTTTACCTTTGCTTTTTTCCCTTTCCTCCTCTTGTTGACTACAGATACCATCTTTCTTTGCACAGTGAGTTGTACTGAGAAGGTACCTTTCATTCCCAAATCCCAAAGACTTCTCCTGTTGGGTGGCGGGTATCAGCAGTGTAACAACACCCAGGAGCTTTACTATACAAAACTGGTAGGAAGCACAGGCAGGATTTGAGACAAGGAGAATGTGCATGCAGGTCTGGAAGGCAGACAAGACATGGGGTTTAACACCTGGACCTACTCAAAAGATGCCACATGAACCATAATGGCAAGAAGTAATCGAGATCTCTCATCTGGATCTTGTATAAAAGAGTCTATTCCAACATCAGAGTGGCCCCAAACCAGGGCTAGGGCTTTTGGGTGGGTAACAGACTTAGAATAGTGATACCCCAGGGACCAGACGGGCAATCCCAGGTCCGTCTGCAGGCCAGATGCAGCCAATGGGCTCAATCCAGCCCGCAGTAGAGGGTGTGCAGCTCCACCCCGATCTGGATGCACAGGGGGCTCAATAGCCCAGGCAGGGCTGGATCCTCCACACAGAGCCTCCACCACTCCCCCGTTGCCAAATTTCCTGAC